ATGTACACTGCCACAACTGGCTGTCTTTGCACTTTTATTAAAAAAAAAAATTCAGTAGGTCATATTTGCGGGTCTATTTCTGGGATTTCTGTTTTGTTTCTGTTTACACCACTGTCAACTGCCTGGATTACTGTAACCATGTAGTAAGTCTTCAAATTGCTTCTGCTTTGTTTTATTTTATTTATTTTTTTTAATTTTTTATTGTTGGTTGTTCAAAACATTACATAGTTCTTGATATATCATATTTCACACTTTGATTCAAGTGGGTTATGAACTCCCATTTTTACCCCGTATATAGATTGCAGAATCACATCAGTTACACATCCATTGATTTACATATTGCCATACCTAGTGTCTGTTGTATTCTGCTGCCTTTCCTATCCTCTACTATCCCCCATCCCCTCCCCTCCCCTCCCCTCTTCTCTCTCTACCCCCTCTACTGTCATTCATTTCTCCCCCTTGTTTTATTTTCCCCTTTCCCCTCACTTCCTCTTGTATGTAATTTTGTATAACCCTGAGGGTCTCCTTCCATTTCCATGCAATTTCCCTTCTCTCTCCCTTTCCCTCCCACCTCTCATCCCAGTTTAATGTTAATCTTCTTCTCATGCTCTTCCTCCCTACTCTGTTCTTAGTTACTCTCCTTATAACAAAGAAGACATTTGGCATTTGTTTTTTAGGGATTGGCTAGCTTCACTTAGCATAATCTGCTCTAATGCCATCCATTTCCCTCCAAATTCTATGATTTTGTCATAGAAGTTAATAACTAGAATCAACAAATGGGAGTTACTCAAACTAAAAAGTTTTTTCTCAGCAAAAGAAACAATAAGAGAGGTAAATAGGGAGCCTACATCCTGGGAACAAATCTTTACTCCTCACACTTCAGATAGAGCCCTAATATCCAGAGTATACAAAGAACTCAAAAAATTAGACAATAAGATAACAAATAACCCAATCAACAAATGGGCCAAGGACCTGAACAGACACTTCTCAGAGGAGGACATACAGTCAATCAACAAGTACATGAAAAAATGCTCACCATCTCTAGCAGTCAGAGAAATGCAAATCAAAACCACCCTAAGATACCATCTCACTCCAGTAAGATTGGCAGCCATTAGGAAGTCAAACAACAACAAGTGCTGGCGAGGATGTGGGGAAAAGGGTACACTTGTACATTGCTGGTGGGACTACAAATTGGTGCAGCCAATTTGGAGAGCAGTATGGAGATTTCTTGGAAAGCTGGGAATGGAACCACCATTTGACCCAGCTATTCCCCTTCTCGGTCTATTCCCTAAAAACCTAAAAAGAGCATGCTACAGGGACACTGCTACATCGATGTTCATAGCAGCACAATTCACAATAGCAAGACTGTGGAACCAACCTAGATGCCCTTCAATAGACGAATGGATAAAAAAAATGTGGCATTTATACACAATGGAGTATTACTCTGCATTAAAAAATGACAAAATCTGCTTTGTTTTAAATTGGTTAATTACTAGTTCCTTTGCATTTCCATATAAGTTTTAGAATGGTCTTTCTATAGAAATTCTTGCTTGGATTTTGATATGTTCTATCTGTGCTGGGTTAAACCTACAATTTGGGAAGAATCAGCATTTTTACTATGTTGAGTGTTCTTACCTAAGAACATGGTATGTAATTTATTTAGAGCTTTGATTTCTTCCATCAGTATTGTGTAATTTACAGCATACAAGTGTGTATGATTTAATTAAACTTACATTGTGTCCCTATCTGATGGCAAATGCTGTTGTATTTTTAATTGTCATCCCCACTGGTCATTACTAGCATATAGAAAAACAGTACATTTTTTGTGTACTAATCTTGAATCCTTCAACCTTAGTGAATTCATTTATTAGCTCTTTTTTTTTTTTTTTTTTTTTTTTTAGGATTCCACAAGGTTTTTTTATGAGACAAATATGCCATCTACAAGGAAGGGTGATTTTATTTGGTATCTTTCTTTTAGTCTGCCTGCTCATCTTTCCTTCCCGTTTGATGGCAGTGGTGAGAACTCCCAGCCTCTGTCAAAGAAGAGAGCAAGAGTGGGGGTGGGAACTTTCCTGCCTTGTTCCTGATGGAGTTCTGTCTGCTACTCTAAGTGTGTAGGCTGCAGGCATTCTGTAGGTGTTCTTTTTATTCCTTTTTAAATGTCTATTTTATAGCTGTAGTTGGACACAATACTTTTATTTATTTATTTTTCTGTGGCGCTGAGGATCAAACACAGGGCCTTGCATGTGCTAGGTGAGTGCCACAACTGTGCCACTACTGTGCCCCAACTCCAGCCTCTTTTGTAGGTATTCTTTATAGATTGATGAAGTTCCCCTTTATTCCTATTTTTCTGAGAGTTTTTTTTTCTTTTTCTGTTTTTTTGTCATGAATGGCTGTTGAATTTTGTCAAATGCCTTTTCTGTGCGTATTGATAATATTGCATGGTTTTTCTTCATTGGAGTGTTACTGTGGTAGGTTATTACTGTGGTTGATTTTGAAATATTACTCAGTCTTTGGTTCACGGAATCTTTTCTCTGTCCTTCCATCAAGTGTGTCCACTGAGCTTTCTATGTCAGTTATTGTCCTTTTCAGCTCTAACATTTCCACTTAATTCTTGATCTGGTTCGTCCTGGGGATTCAACCAGGGGCACTTTACCACTGAGCTACATCCCAGATGTAGCTTCTTGTTTTGTATTTGAGGTATGGTCTTGCTAAGTTGCCCAGGCTGATCTGGAACTTCAGTCCTCTCCTTCAGCCTCGCAAGTCACCGAGATTACGGGTGTGTGTAGTGTGGCCAGCTTGATCTTTTATTTATTTGTTTGTTTTTTGCAGAGGCTTCTTTCTTTTCTTTTCTTTTTTTTTCTCTTTTCTTTTCTTTTCTTTTGCTGAGGTGGTGCTGGGGATTGAACCCAGGGCCTTGGGCATGAAGGCAAGCACTCCACCAAGTGAGCTATCCCCAGCCCCTCTTATTTATTTCAAGTGGGTTTGTAGTTGCTTATTGAAGCACTTTTTAAAATCATGGCTGCTTTCCAGACTTGGCCAGATAACCCTGATCCATGGAGTTGGCACTTTTGGTGGTCGCTTCCTTCAGTTTGGACCCTCCTTCTTGGCCTGACAAGCTGGACATTCTCACTGTGTGAGGCTCTGGTCTTACTTGGGAGCCTCTCACTGAGACTGCACACCACCTGGTGGAAGCACAAGTCCAGGCTCCACTGACGGGGTGTGTCTTGTCACTGGGGGCAGGGATCCTGGTGTCCACCCGGCCTCTGGCAACACCCAGCTGGGCAAGGGGAGGACCTTTCACTGCCTGGGGTGAAGTCCAGGTGCCCCGCTCAGATGAAAGCCTCCTTTACCCTTTTGGGTTGAGAAAGAGGGGGTGGAGCACCCCATTCCAGCCCAGAGGTGGACATCCAGACTGTGCCAAGGCCGAGCAGCCTCTGTGGCATTCGCTCTCTCAGTAGGCTGCATTCCTGGCCCTGGCTAGTAAGAGCGGACACGGTGGTCTGCGCCCCTGGGCAGCTCTGGTTCCCAGCTGTGGGGCTGGGGCTGGGGCTGGTGAGGAACACACCACAAGCCACATGCAGCTCCAAGGTCCTGGGGTCTGCCTTACCCTCATCTTGAGAGTCTGCTGGATGGCATGAATTGTATGCAGTGAGGAGGGGGTGTCGGACATCGCTCCATCTCCTGGGACCAGAGTCTGCCCTGGCCCTGAGATCAGTCCTCTAGGACCACAAGGAGATCTGCTCATACTGCCTGAGAAGTGCTTTGTGAACTGTGAAAGGTGTTTACCTGGCAGGTACCAGTGGTGTTGTCTCGTATCCCAGAGACCTCACAGCCAGCTGAGCGCCTGGGTGTGTGGAACAAGACGTGATGAGAGGGCTGTGAGCTTCCTGGGGGAAGCATTTTGCTGCTGGTTTTGGAGGCTGACTTTGCCTGCTGCGACTTGGCGTGACAGTGGGTTTGGGCAAGTCGAGGAGCTTTCCAAAACTGGGCTTCTTCCGTTTGGGCGGACAGCAGATGGGGAGGCTGTGCACACCTGTGAGCACCTCAGCGCCTCACAGACACCGAGGTGACCTGTGGTATGAATGGGAGGCGACCTGCAGGTCACTGACCAGGGAGGTGGGCTGGAGGCCTTAGCCCATGAGGAGGGGCAGTCCAGGAGGGCTTCTGGAAGTCAGTGGCATGGCCGGAAGGGGAGGACTTAGGTGGACAGTGAGAGTAGGACTGAGGCAAGCGGGGCGGTGGGAGCGGGCAGGGGCCACTGTGCAGTGCAGTCCTGGAACCCGCTGGCCGGGCCTCTGGTTGTCTGTTTCAGGGGGGAAGCGGGATGAGGAGCTGATCCTACCCATCAATTCCTCACTGAGTGTCACTCTGCACCAGGACCAGGTGAGAACGTGCTGACCACAAATACCAAATGCGTAATCACGAACTGTCAGAAAGTTGGCGGCTTTGTACCTAAGGCCAGGGTGAGATGACTGTGCGTGGGATCCCTGGCCAGGCTGTGCCCACTCCCACCTGCATGGCAGACAGCCCCGGAGTCCCCTGGGATGCTTCGTCCTTGTGCAGGAGGTCCTGGGCAGTCTGTTCTGTGCAGAGATGGGAGTGTGTGGCGAACCAGGGCGGGGCGAGAGCCCGGGTCCCCGTGGGGCTCCCAGTGCCCAGCTCTGCATGAGTGGGCAGCCACAAGGGTCACAGGTAGGGAAGGCCTTGTGCACAGAAAGATGTCTGGGGGCCTGAGGCCCAGCACTGTCCCTGAGGCCCTTGTTTTCCTTTCCAGTTAAAAACCACCACCACGGCCACCATCAGCAAGGACTTCACGGAGGACCGCATTTGGCTGAATGGCCAGGAGGAGGACGTGGGGCAGCCACGCCTCCAGGCCTGCCTGAGAGAGAGTAAGCCAGGGTCCACATGTCCTCTGGGCCCTTGGCCTTCCTGCCCTGGTCAGACCCGTGGCTGGGTGTCATGAGCAGTTACTAGACTCAGTCTGAGGCGCAGTCAGATTTAATCAAATCTGTTTTATTAATGCTCATCACACTTCAGACACACATCCTAATTCTAAGTCCTAACTGAGTCTACACTCAAGGGTCCCAAGCGCTCACCAGTGACGTGTCTTAAGTCCAGGTCACTGGAACTTGATCCAGGCTGGAGGAATCTGGTGCAGGGGGGACAACAGTGACAGAGGCCTGTTAGTCCCGTCGCCCCCCAGAAGTCTGGGTTTTTAAGTCCTAGTTCAGTTGTGCTTACAGCTTATAACTGGGTGAGGTCTGGGGTGTACGCTTGGGGTAGACGCTGACGTCACTAACTGAAGTCTAAGTTTTGCAGTTCACGTTACATCACAGGCACGTTGCTTAACGTCATTCACTATTCAGTCAATACACATTCACTAATCGATACAGTCAGCAGTCTATAATCCTGTAATTATTTCTGGTATTCATATGACTGGGAGAGAGCTGGCTGGGGCCCAGGCTTTCCCAGAGCGGGGAGGGCTATCTGAGGGGTGGAGGTCATTCTTCAGCTGTACCCGCTGTGTGACTGGTGGTGCCACCTGGCAGGCAAGACGCCAGCGCGGGTCTGCCCCGTGGCAGGACCACTCACTGTCTTCCCTTCTCGGCAGTTCGCCGCCTGGCTCGGAAGCGGAGAAGCACAGGCGATGGAGACTCATTGCCTCTGAGCCTCAGCTACAAGGTGCACATAGCCTCTGAGAACAACTTCCCCACGGCTGCAGGCCTGGCCTCCTCGGCAGCAGGCTATGCCTGCCTAGGTAGGTGTCCACAGCAAGGTCCCCTCTGTTCTCTGTGCTCTTGCAGCACGTGGGGAGCCAGCGCCAGGCTCTGTGGTCCAGGACTCACCTCTGAACATGCCCTGTTCAGGCCCTGCAGTCTGGGACAAAAACCACCTCAGGCTGGCTTGAGTGACCTTCTTCCTCCTGGAACTGAGGGCTGCAGGGGCTGCCCTGGCCTTGGCATAGCTGGGTCAGGCTCTCCAGCAGGCTCAGCAGGAGTCCAGCTCTTGCCACCAGAATCTCAGCTCTGCTTCCCTCTGCTTTGGGCACCTCTGGCAGGCTGTCCCCAGCTGGTGGCACCACCAGTCACACAGTGGCGAGCCACCACCCTCGTCTCTGAGTCCAGAATGGTGCTCACTGGCCCCGCTAAGTTTCTGAGCTGCCTCTGACTAGGGCTGTGGGTGAGCCAGGCCTGGAGGCAGGACCACCCTCTAGAGAGCCTGTCACATCCTGCCTCCCATTGCCACCTGCACCCCTAGTGGGCACGCTGCCCAGGCCTCCTGCCTTGATCTCTCTCCAGGGACCTTCCAGACTCTTTCCCATCCCCCAGATCCCAACTTGGTCACTGACCCTGGAGAAGCTTTCTCCAGTCCCCGGTGGCTCCGGTCCCCTGGGTAGTTGCAGGAGACTACCCCTCTAGTGTGGCCTGGGAGGTGCCAAGTAACCAGGGAGTGCCTGAGCCAGTGGGTGCTGACCCCGGGAGCCACTGTGCAGGATCTGCCGTCTCAGAAAGTCTCAGGTGATAAGGATGCTCTGTGTACCGGCCCTTCTGATGCCCTCCTCCTCCTGCAGCCTATACCCTGGCCCGGGTCTATGGGGTTGAGGACGACCTCTCCGAAGTGGCACGCCGTGGCTCTGGCAGCGCCTGCCGGAGCCTGTACGGGGGCTTTGTGGAGTGGCAGATGGGGGAGCAGGCTGATGGGAAGGACAGTGTCGCCCGGCAGGTGGCTCCTGAGTCACATTGGCCCCAGCTCCGAGTCCTCGTCCTTGTGGTGAGTGGCCTAGGGCGTGGCCAGCAGCTGGCTCGCTGTCCTGTGGTCAGGTTGGGCTGAGACCAGGAACTGGGCTCCTCCCAGGCTTCCCTGGGCTCTTGGGTCAGCAGGGCTGAAGGAGCCTACCCAAGGCCGAGCTGTCAGGAGTGGCCCCATGTGGCCGGGCTGCTGCCCTTCTGTGAGGGGGATGTGGCCAGTCCTGAACGCAGGTCACCTGACTATGGCCCCCACTGCCTGCCCGTGGTGGGAGGGCCGAGTGTCGGGGCTGGGGTCTGCAGGCTTGGCACAGCTCCCTGCTCAGCAGAGCTCAGCTCGCCTGCCGTAGGTGAGCGCGGAGAAGAAGCAGATGGGCAGCACAGTGGGCATGCAGACCAGTGTGGAGACCAGCTCCCTGCTCAAGGTGAGTGGGGCAGGAGGGCAGCCCCGGGGCTCACCAGGCCTCTCGCTCAGGGGCCTGTGCTGGAGCCACGCTGTGGTCCCAGAGCCAGCGCCTCCTTGGAGAACGGCCTGAACCTTGCAGTTCCGGGCAGAGTCGGTGGTGCCGTCGCGCATGCGGGAGATGATCTCCTGCATCCAGGCCCGGGACTTCCCGGGTTTTGCTGAGCTGACCATGAAGGACAGCAACCAGTTCCACGCCACCTGCCTGGACACTTTCCCCCCAATCTCCTACCTCAACGATGTCTCCAGACGGATCGTGCAGCTGGTGCACCGTTTCAACGCCTGCCACGGGCAGACGAAGGTGAGGCGCGGCAGGGCGGCTCAGACGTGACCCCTGCTGCAGGCAGAGCCGGGAGGCTCCAGGGTGCTGTGGGCTACTTGGCTGGTTGCCTGGCCCCTCGGGTCACAGCCTCACTGCCTCTTCCTGAGTGGCAGGCGGCAGTACTTCTCATTTTTGTTCCCCACGGGCCTCCCTCGGCTCCTGGACACCCACATCCCCCTGGCAGATAGAGGGTCTGGGAGGGGTGGGCCCTGTGTGAGCACTAGGTTGACTGCCGTGGGCTCCAGGTGGCGTACACGTTTGACGCGGGCCCCAACGCTGTGATCTTCACCCTGGAGGACACCGTGGCTGAGTTTGTGGCTGCTGTGAGACACAGCTTCCCCCCAGAGACGAATGGAGACAAGTGAGTGTGGTCCTTTCCCCGTCCTTCCTTGGAGACAGTGCCCTGGACCTTCCTGCCAGGCACAGGCACCGAAGGTCATGACACTGAGCCTGGGCCGGGTAGCAAGCACCATGGCACATCCTGCCTGGGGCCACGTGGGCCATGTGTACACGTGGACACTGAAGGATGGGGAACGTAGCTTTGTGGCGAAGTGCCCCTGGTTCCATCCCAGCACCAGAAGAGAGAAAAGGGAAGGATCCACAAAGCCCGAGCCCCGCTGGGGGCCAGCGTGGAGTCCGACCACTGTGTCCTGTCTACCTCATGACTTCCTCCCTATCCCTGAAGGAAACCCATTCCCCACCTGCAGTGCCTGCCCCACCTCCTGCCCTGACAGCCCCACCCGCCCGCTGTCTCCATCCTGGACATTTTACTCTTGGAGCCGTGCACGCATTCCTGCCCTCTTTGCCCAGGTTTCTGAAGGGACTGCAGCTGACACCTGTTCTTCTCTCTGATACGCTGAAAGCTGCACTGGCCATGGAGCCCAGCCCTGGTGGTGTCCAATACATCATTGCTACCCAGGTGAGGCCTCTTCTGTCTCCTGAACACCAGGCTCAGGCTACGCCCCCTGCCAGCTCGGGCAGGAAGCAGAGGCCAGTGATGGCGAAGATGGCCTGCACCTCTGTTGCTTTCGAGGCACTTGGTGGGCTTTCCTTGCTTGCAGAGCAGACTTTCAGGGATGCCCTGCGCTCTTGGGGCTGAGTGTGTGGGTGGGGCTGGGCAGGCGAAGGAAGAGTCAGACCTAGGCCCTGGGAAGACAGGAGGAAGGAGAGCAGCCACTCGTGAGTGGGCAACTCCTGGGGAGCCCCAGACGTGAGTGGTGCACTTCCACCCCCAGGGCCCACTCACCGGGATCAGTGCCCTGACTCTTCCCACAGCAGCTGGTCCCGAGTCAGTGGTCAGGCATGCCAGAGCCACCATTCCAGCTCTCCGTTCTGGGGCCACCTGCTCCGGGCAGCTGTTGCCACAGTTCTAAGGTGTGTTCTGCACTTGGATCCTGGCTGGCCCAGGCCAGGGCATACTTGGCAGGCAGAGGCAGCTCAGCTTGGATCAGCTGGAAGTGGGCATCATCATCTGGGTTGGCGACCCTATTCCTCAAGGAGTCTGACTCACCTTGTTGAGGACTTCTAGCCCTTGAAGATGCAGCAGTAGGGCTCTGAGCTGGTACTGTCACCTATGACAACACTGATTTTTCTACCCCCAGGTAGGCCCAGGGCCTCAGATCCTAGATGATCCCCACACACACCTCCTGGGCCCAGATGGCCTGCCGAAGCCAGCTGCCTGATCACTTCTGCCACGGGATCCCCACCTTCTGCCTGCACAAGGGGCCACTCTGGGACTAGGAGCTCATGCGCCTGTTGGTGTGCATTTGTGGGGACTTGTGGGGCTGCTCTGCACTCGGCCTAGCCAACACGCTGTGGCCAGGTCATTGTTGGAGATGGGGCACGAGCACCTGTGGCCACCCAGGCAGTCAGGAAGATCCTACCAGGTGCCTCACTATGCCCAGCCAGCACCCAGGGCTTTGCCAGAATGGGAGTTAGGGCCTGAGCCCATTGCTGAGAGGATCCCTGACCACTGGGGAGCCCTGTCCCTCCCAGTTGTGTGTGTGTGTGTGCAGGGCAGCTCCTGGCTCAGGAGACAGGTGCTTCAAGGGTGCTGGTGGTGGACAGTGCCTCTTCTGAGACCCGGGCTGACCATGCGCTCAGGCCACAGGTGTGGATGGAGTGTTTGGGCTGGGCCTCTGGTGACTGGTCCCCAAGGAGTAAACTGAGTGTTGCCCATCTGCCTCTTGCCCTTTCTTGCTCTCTTAAGCCAGTGTTCTGGAGACCCTGGTCTGATGGTTCTGTCCCTTGCCCAGCAGGGAGCAGCACTCCTAGGAATGGATAGGAGAGGGTTAGCAGAGCCAGGGATTGCCTTCTCCTTTCCGAGTCCCTTAAATTCCATTTGCACCTGTCATCCCAGCAATTTGGGAGGCTGCGCGACAGGAGGATTGAGAGTTCAAAGCCAGCCACAGCAAGGTGAGGCACTAAGCAACTCAGACCCTGTCTCTAAATAAAATACAAAATAGGGCTGGGTTGTTTCTCAGTGGTCTAGTGCCCCTGAGCTCAATCCCTGGTACCCGCCTCCCCCCCAAAAAAAAATTCATTCTGGTACCTGGACCTCCAGTTTCCAGTGCATGGGGCCAGAAGCCAACTGCTGGCAAGACATGGATTCCCCAACTCTGAGAGGCTGGGCCCCAAGCAGATCCCGCCTCTGCATGAGCTCCCATCCTGCCGCCCCGCCCCGTCGCCCCCGCCCCCGCCCCCGCCTGCGCCAGTTCTGGCGCCCCACCCCTGCCCTGCTGCGGGGTGTGTCCAAGGGGAGGACCGAGGAGAGGGAACTTCCCTCCTGGCTCCTCTTGGGTTTTCCAGTCTTGCACAGCCGTCCCTTCTTGTGACCCCATGAGGTCCGCGGGCCAGCCAGGGTCTGGAGCAAACCCTGGTCCCAGCCAGCTGTCATCAGGAGCTTCCAGTGTCCCTTGACCATGAGATCTAGGAGGCAGGGGTCCTCCGGGAGAGGCATCACTGCCTTCTTGCCCTTCGTGCAGAGCCCAAGCCTGCACCGACGTTGGGGTCCCGGGTCCTCCACGGTGCAGCCCTAGACTGTCGGGGTGATACGCACCAGCAGGTGCTGCGCTGTATCCCCGCGGCGGTCAGGTCGGGTGGGGCCCCTAGTCCCCGGGTAATACGTGGGCGGGGGAGTCCGCAGCGGCCCCGCCTTCCCTGCCTGCAGGTCACCTGGTCACCCGAGGGGCGGGGCGGCGGGCGGGTCACAGGCCTCGGGTCGTCGAGTTAGGCGCGGTGACCGCGCTCAGCCGGGAGGCAGTGAGCGGCCAGCGAGGAGGCGCCATGGGGCAGATCGAGTGGGCCATGTGGGCGAACGAGCAGGCGCTGGCGTCCGGCCTGAGTGAGTGCGCGCCGGCGGCGGGGCCGGGGCGGGGCCGGGCCGGGCTGGGGCGGAGCCGGGGCGGAGCCGGGGGCGGTGGGGCGCGGAGACTGCGCGCGGTCAGGCAGGGCTGGAGGGTTGCGCGGACCGGCGGGCACGGCGTCCTGGCTGTAGCCCCCCGCAGCGCGGCGCTTCCCCGCCTCCCTGCCCCCATGCTCTGCCCGACCCTGCTCAGCACTTCCCCTTCGCGGACCTCCGCCCGCCCTGGAGGAAGTGGAAGCTGGGGGAAGAGGCGTCTCACCCCGGTGGTTTCCGGGGCGTCACGGTTCCTCCTGATTGAGAAAACCCTGCCGACGACCCTCCCCTGCGCCCCCGTCCTGTTCTGGAGTCGGGGATCGGGCCCTGGGGTCACCCGGTTCTCCTCTCCCCCGGAGCCAGCAGGTGTGGGCTCAGGTCTGGTGTGGGGTTCTGATGGTTCCTTTGGGGTCCATTCTGGAGTGTGCCCAGAAGGAGGCCTAGGATTTCATACACACCCGAAGGGACCAGCCCTGCTTGGCTCTGGAGGAGGACAGCCCTGCCCTGCCCTGGTTGCTGGGAGTTCTGATGAGGGGCAGCGGATTTCTGGCCACTGTGGAAGGACCTCTACCCAGTGCGCAGGGGGGTAGTGGGGTGGGGTGTCATGGCCCACCACCTGTCACCTGGGGACAGTAAGCAGCGGGAGTGGGGACAGGAATCAAGGGTGTCTTCCTCGCCTGCCCCTTTTCAGCCACATTTTGAGTGGCAGCCTTGGGACATTGGCTCTGAGCCTCCTCCTTTTGAGTGGCTACTTTTGGTAGTCCTCAGGACTGTCCCACAGGACTGTCACCTCCCTGCAGTGGACTATGCCCTGCACTCTAGCTGCACTTCCTCCTTCCTCCCAAACCCCTCCAGGAAGTACAGTGAGTCAGAGGGCACCCACCTGGGTGGCTCCAGAGTGCCTGGGCAGGGTCTCCCCTGGCTGGCCCTTGTTCCCAGCACCCAGGCTGGTGCTGCTCAGTTCCTGCTCAGGAACACCACAGGGGAGACCTGAGAAGTCCCAGGCTGCGGCAGGCAGTTTCCCTCCAGCAGGAGGGCTTGTGGAAGGCCTCCCAGACCTGCTGCGCAAGTGGCCCTCTCGCCCGCCCCCTTTCTCTAGGTCTGTTCAGTGCAGCCACCTGGCCAGCGTGGCCTGCTGGGTCCTACCAGCATGGCATCCAACAGGATTCATTTATTTATTTATTTATTTTTGACACCAGAGATTGAACACAGGGGCACTGGACCACTGAGCCACGTCCCAGCCCTATTTTGGACTTTATTTAGAGGCAGGGTCTCCCTGAGTTGCTCAGCCTTGATGTTGTGAGGCTGGCTTTGAACTCACCATTGTTCTTTCTCACCTCCCCAGCCACTGCCCCAGCCATCAGGATTCTTTTTATACCAAAACACCTCGTTTAACAGACCACATCACCTCCCTACAAAGAGCCTCCAATGGCTGCTTATTGCCACTAACGAAAGCCAGATTCCCATTACCCAAGCCCCTGCCCACCTCCCCGGCCCTGCCCATATTCTCACTCTAGCTGCACAGGATCCTGCTCTGTTCCTGGGTGAGGGTGCCTCAGGGCCTTTGTGGAAGTTGACCCCTCCCTTCATCTCAACCCTTAGTTAGGCCTGGTGGCACATACCTGTTATTCCGGTGATTCAGGAGGCTGAGGCAGGAGGATCCCAAGTTCTAAGGCCAGCCTCAGCAATTTAGCAAAGCCCTAAGCAACCTGGTGAGACCCTGTTTCTAAATAAAAAATAAAAAGATCCGGGGAAGGGGTTCAGTGTTAAATTGCCCCTGGGTTCACTCTCCAGTACCCCCCACCAAAAGAACAACAAAATGGCCTCCAGCACTGCCTATCTGGAGATGTCTTCCGGACGTCCCACCTGAAGCAGCTGGTTCCCTCTGCTGCTCCTCTGCTCTAACCACACCCACACTTCTTTTCTCCCTGAGCCCCAGCACCCGCAGAGTCCCTGCCTGGAGCAGGATGTCGGAATGGGTCCTCAGGCCCTCGTGCGGCCAGGGCAGGCAGTGAAACTGAGGCTCAGGACAGGGACAGGAGGACAGTGTGCTGAGAGAGAGCACGAGGACACTGCCCTTCCTCGTCCACACACAGGAATGCTGACCAGCAGAGAGCAGTTAATATATAGCTGAGCTCAGGACCAAGGAAGGACATCTGCAGGGAACAAAAACAGGTTCCCAGCGGGCCAGCAGGAGCTGAAGTCCAGGGCACTCCGGATGCTCAGGCTTGCCCCTGCGGTCCCGGGGTCTCCGTGTGTGGAAGGAGCTGAACTGAGCCGCGCATGCGCAGCAGGGCCCAGCGGCGCTGCCTGAGCAGGAGTGGACTGTGATCTGCTGCTCCAGCTGGGAGCTGCAGACAGCCTGACCCCTGGAAGTCCAGCTGCTGGCCAGGGAGGCTGGGACCTTCGGATCACAGGATGGGGGCAAGCCAGGTTCAGGATAGAGAGGTGTCCTGCCCCCAGCAGCAGCAGCCGTGAGCCCCCTGTGGCGGTTCCTCAGCCAGGACTCGCAGGCCACGGGAAACCCCTGCAGGCCAGAGCTGGCACAGCCGCCGCTGGAGGAAGCGGACCCCAACAGAACCAGAGGCCCTGTGTCCTCAGAGGCAGAACCACATTTGAAAGGGGCCTGAGAATGTCTAAAATGTGCAAGGAGACCGAGGAGTGGGAGCTGACAGGGACAGTGGAAAGTGAATTAACGTCTAAAGAAGACGGCCCGGAGGCTGGGAGCAGGGGCAGGGTCCAGGCCAGCCTTGGCAACTGGTGTGCGGGGTGGCTGCTGACAGCCTGACTGCAAAGACTGCTGGAGGTGTCCCTCCTCGGGGGGACGTCGGAGCCAAGAGAAGTGGCACACAAAGACACGGGCGAATAAGTACCAAATACATACAGATAACAAGCACTTCTGGAAGAGAATGAGGCTAGACATCCTGAAGTTTTATCTGCGGTTTGGGAGGAAGGGTTTCAAAATAAGTAACCTTGAATA